CATTTGAAAAACCGGAAAATTTAAGTCACTTTATCGTGTTGAAGACAGAGAAAAGTGGAGACATATAAGGATATAGAAAATAAACCAGCTTAATAATAAGGTCAATCTATGCACCTGGTAACAGAGAATACTTTTTTTCAAGTGCCAATGAATGACTCACAAAATTTGACAATATATTGGGTGAAAACAAAACATCAATAACTTATCAGAAGAAAAAGAAAAAGTCAATACCATGCAATAAAACTAGAAATTGATTTTAAAAATCAGAAAATGTAGAGATGTTTTTTCCTAAAAGGCAAGCATTCTTTATTGGGCAAGCTTTAGATAAAAGGAAAACACAAGCCAAAACTGCCAATTCTACTGGCTTTTCAAAGCTGTGGGTTATTTGACATTGTTAATTCATTGACTCAACAAGCAAGTCTCCAGCAGGTGAGCAAGACAGTTTCAATCAGCAATGCGTAATGTGCAGAAACTAAGGCAGGATTGGATGACAGAGGAGAATGGGCAGGGGATGCCTGAGCTGCCGGGCTCAGATAGATTCACAGAGCAGGGGACCTTTCTGAGACCCAGTTGACATAATGGAAAGTCCAGAGCAGATTGTTCCACTTGCAGGGAATAGCAAATGCAATAGACCTACCATGGAAATTAGTGACTTTTTTTTCCCAGGAATACTAAAGAAGCTCATTTGTGCCTTGGACAGAGAGGGGAAGGAAGAGAGGCTGGGGGCAGAGCATGTCAGGCCTTGTGTCTCATGTTAAGTGTATTATTTGGTGTTCCTTCAAGTGAGAAGACATTAGAAGCTTGAAACAGCAGTGCAGAAGATGTGATTGACACATTTAAATAATCAGCGTAGTGGCTCTGTGGAGAGTATGGAAGTAGGAGAAGCAGACCATTTATAATACAAGTCAGAATGACAGTTGCTTAGACTTGTTAGTTTTGAAAATGCATAGCCAGCCTCATCAACATAGCAAAACCTAGTTCCTGCAAAGGAACAGTTAAAAAATTACTGATGTGGTGGCACACACCTGTAGTCCCAGCTACTCAGGAGGCTGAGAGAGGAGGATCACCTGAGCCTGGGAGGTCAGGCTGCATTCAGCCACGATGGCAGCACTGCAGTCTAGTCCGGGCGACAGAGCCAGACTCTGTCTTTAAAAACAACAACAAAATGAAAGTGCACAAAAGTGGACAGAACATATTTTGGAAATCGAAAATGATAGTTTTCATACAGAAAGAAACATTCAGAGAAGAAAGCCACCTTGCTTGTTAAGTATTCTACTTTAGTACAACCCTTCCTTTCTTCCCCTGTCGGAATTTCAGTAGGGCTCTAAATTCTAAAGTAAGAGTAATTGGTGCTTCTCCGAGGTTTTCAATAAACGTTGGAAAAACCCATATCTTTCTGCCTCTCCATTCATTGGGCAAACTTCGTCTTTCTTAATGTAACAAGAGAAGGAAGTGTATTCTTTGATAAATTCAACCTGAGAGATGAACTCAGAGACTCCAGGCACATAGGAGGATGGAATAAGATGCCTGGCTGACATGGGGTTAAAGCTAATGTGGACATGGTGGGAGCACAAGATAAAACAGGCTGCATTCACGGGAAGGGAGTAGCCCTAGAGAGCTGCTGGACCCACAACACATCTTGCATGACCAAGGAATAAACTTTTATGTGTTAGGTAAAAGCCTCATTGCCTCTGGACTGCAGTAGGCAAACAGCCTTCAGCCACAGACTGCTGCCTCACCCAAGGCCATGCCTCTTCCCGGTTTGGCTGACATCCCATGACTGCTCAGTGCTGGAGGATAAAGCTTGGCTTTCTCTGCTCAACCCAGGACAACCCAGCAAAGCTATTTGAGCTCTAGAGCTCCCTGCAGGATTGGCTGCCTATCTTTGGTTCTAACCCACAGATCAACATTTCCCTGTGCTCACACCTGCTTCCTCCTCCTCCCTTTCTCAGATATGGATCCCAAGGACAGTCTTTAAAAACGATCTTGGTGCTGAAGTCTTAGAGTCTGCTCTTCAGTAAACCTGACCTGCAACTGTATTTTAGGTTTCTTTGTGTTTCAAAGACATAATTTCCTTGAGAGAATGAAGATCAATCACCCCTGCCAAAATTATCGCCCTTCTTTGTGTGGTTATTTACTGATGTGAGGAGGCTGAAATAGCCACATGGGAATCTCAGCTTCCTATGTATGGCATTATTGTTGTGACTCCATTGAAAACATGTTTCTTCAAACACCAGAAGTCACAAGGACAAGAAGCAAACATCTTAGCTTTCACATGATAGAACAGTACTAGTTTTAGGCCTGAAGTCTGGATTTACTGGAACGATGCGTTCTATTAAATCACGTACACTGAGTGAAGAGATGCCCAAACAGGCTTTGTGTGAACAACTTGGCTGTTTATTCACCTGGGTGTGGGTGGGCTGACGCTGAAAAAGGTATCAGCAAAGGGCGGTGGGATAGGAGTTGGTTTTATAGGTTTGGGGTGGGTAGTGGAAAGTTACAGTTTAGGGCAGTTTTTTGCAAGCTTGGAGGGGGTTGTAGGTTTGCAAGCTGGGAGGGGGTCATAGGGTGTGTAGTCACAAGGTTGACCGAGGTCTGTTACAAAGTCCAGTGGCCTTAGGCATGTGCCACCACGCCCAGCTAATTTTTCTATTTTCAGTAGAGATGAGGTTTCGCCATATTGGCCACACTGGTCTTGAACTCCTGACCTCAAATGATCTACCTGTCTCAACCTCCCAAAGTGCTGCTGGGATTAAAGACATGAGCCACTGCACCTGGCCTAATTGTGCCTGGCCTAATTCATTTATAATTCTTATGAAAAAGAGTTTTGTCACTTCTCAGCTATTTGTTAATTTATTTAATTTTTAATTTATATCAGTACGAACCCATAAATACTTGTTTCATACTTGGATCATAATTCAATTTATATATTTTCTTGCTCAACTTGGAGATTTGGTCTTTGGAAGTTGTTTTCCTTGTGCCCCTCAAAGTAGCCCCATCTTTGACTGTGTGTATTTACCGAGTTTTTATTTTTCACTACTGCAAATGCTTTGGTCTCTGTCTGCATATTACTTGCCCAAGGCTAGCAAGCGTTTTGCTTATCAGTGCTGCCACTTATTTATTTTTTCTTTAGAAGTATCAGATTTCAGTTTTATTAATTATCTTTATTTCAATATACATATTCCCCTTTGCTTATTTATCCATTATTATTTTTACATTTCATTTTGTTTTGCATACTTTTTTGTTTTTAATCACTGCTTGAGTTCAACCTGATCAATAAAATTTTAGAAATGTGAATATAAATTTTCAAATAAATATGGTTGGATTCAGCTTTTGTATTGTTCACTTTCAATTTGATTTCATTTTGGTCAAGATCGTGCCCTGTATATGCATTCTATGGAATTTTAATTTGATATTTACTTTGTAATCCTTTATTGGTAAATTTATCGATTAAAAATGTTTCTTGTGTACTGAAAAGCATTTTCCATTTGCTTTTTAATTGTTGCAATTTCGCTCCTCAAAGTTCTTAAGCTTGTACATATTATAATAACATTACTAATTTTCTACTCTGCTCTATTGGTTTCTGGAAGAACACTGATAAGAAAAGCATTAAAAACTCCCATCAAAATTGTATATTTTACTGTCTGACCTTACAACAACTCTCAGTCTTGGCTTTCCATGTGTCAGTGCTATTTGGTTAGGGTCATAGAGTTCATCACTGTACTATTCCAGTGAATTTTTCTACTCCATAACTGTAAAATGTGCCTTTTTAATTCTATAACTGAATTGGATATTAATATTGCTGCTTTAGCTTCTTTGGTTTAATGTTTGTTGGAGTTGCCTTTTTCCATTCCTTGGTTTTTAACCACTTAGCTTCATTGTGAGATTGCTTTAATATGTAAAATAAAAGGGAGGGACTAAAATAAAAGGGTGGAAACCTAATCTGGACCCAGCCTAGTGATTACATTAGCTGGGCACTGATTGGGTTAGGATGTTGCCCATGTGTAAAGCCAGGGTCTTTGGAATGTGGGGCTTTATTTAGAGTTTAGCTACTACCAGGAAAGTTTCTCTTTGGGTCCTGGAGTATTTTCATATGGAATTGTGAGTTTTTGGCAGAAGGCGGGTAGTTTTATTTCTCTGTTGGAGCACTTTTGGATATTGATATTTGTCCTACTGAGAATATTAATATCACCAAGTTGTTAGTAAGATTTTGTTAAAAATTTTAAATCATCTCCACCAGATTTTTAGCTATTCTGCTTGTTTCTTACCACAATGTGTTTTGTTTGTACTTTATTTTCTTTTCAGGCCTATGGCTTTTTACTTCTCATCACGTTTTTTTGAAAACTCAGTTCAATTTTTGTCATCATTCCTATTGGATGTTCTGTTTACTTTTGCAATGGTTTCTGCTTTTGAATTTATTTTCATTGTTTCTTTTGATGTTAATGCATCTAATTTCTTGAGTGGAATGCTCACTTTTTTTCTCTTTTAAACTTGATCATTTTTCATCTTAGTTTGATTAGCTGCTGCTCTTTTTCTGTTTAATGATTTGACCTTATATCTTGATGTTAACATAGCATATGCTTTAGTTTAGCTTAATGTTAGCTGAGTATTTCTTTTGTGTGGTCATACACATACTTAAAAAATATGAATATTCTGTATTTTTGTTGTTGTGTTTTAGGTGTATTGTTTTGACTTCCTAGAGGAGAGGCCCAGGTGCAGTGGAGTTAGCCGCTACTCCTGCACCGAAACCTGAGAATCAGGAGAAGTCTCACAGAGACACCCTCAGTTAAGGAAACTCACAGGGCTGCAGGTGAAGCTGGGACATACTCTACTTCTTTGGACAAAAATATACTGACTAGAGTGGAATCCCCCTGGTGAGTCTGAAAGCCAGTGAGAGGTCTCACTTGTTCAAAAGTTCAATTCTGAATTACTGCCTCACAGATAAACCAAAGCATTTTGAAAACCAAAGGGGAGAAAATAAAGCATTCTCCAGCACGCTCAGTTATCTAGAAGACGCCTAAGAAGTTGGGAGTCAGCTGTTTCTTCTGTGCAGCCATGAAGTCTGTGCACTCTGTTCCCCAGAACACGAGTTGTACCATCATGACTTTTTACCCAACCATGGAAGAATTTACAGATTTCAACAAATATGTTGCTTACATGGAGTCCCAAGGCACACACCAAGCTGGCCTCGCCAAGGTAATTCCACCCAAGGAATGGAAAGCCAGAAAGACTTACGATGATATTGAAGACATCTTAGTCACCACTCCCCTCCAGCAGGTGACATCTGGGCAGGGAGGTGTGTTTACTCAATACCATAAAGAGAAGAAAGCCATGACGGTCGCGAAGTATCGCCATTTGGCAAACAGTAAGAAATATCAGACTCCACCACACCGGAATTTTGAAGATTTGGAGCAACAATACTGGAGGAGCCACCCCGGTAATTCACCAATTTATGGTGCTGATATTAATGGCTCCTTATTTGAAGAAAACACTACACAATGGAACCTAGGACACCTGGGAACCATTCTGGACCTGTTGGAGCAGGAATGTGGGGTTGTCATCGAGGGCATCAACACCCCCTACCTGTACTTTGGCATGTGGAAGACCACGTTTGCTTGGCACACGGAGGACGTGGACCTTTACAGCATCAACTACCTGCACTTCGGGGAGCCCAAAACATGGTACGCAGTGCCCCCAGAACATGGCCAGCGCCTGGAGTGCCTGGCCAGAGAGCTTTTCCCAGCCATTTCCCAGGGCTGTGAGGCCTTCCTGCGCCACAAGGTGGCCCTCATCTCCCCTACCGTTCTCAAAGAGAATGAGATTCCCTTCAATTGCATGACTCAGGAGGCTGGGGAGTTCATGGTGACCTTTCCCTATGGCTACCATGCGGGCTTCAACCATAGCTTCAACTGTGCAGAGGCCATCAATTTTGCCACTCCACGATGGATTGATTATGGCAAAGTGGCTTCACAATGTAGCTGTGGGAAGGCGAGGGTGACCTTTTCCATGGACGCCTTCATGCGCATCCTGCAACCCAAGAGCTACGAGCTCTGAAAACACAGGCAAGACGGCCATTGCGGATAACAGAGCCCAGCGTTGCAGAAAGCCAAGAGCTGAGCAACTGGAGGGATGACGTAGTACTTAGGAGAGCTGCTCTGGGCCTGAGGCTTCTCTCAAACCTCACGGCCAGGTGTCCCACATGGCCTGTGTCCCCAGGGCACCGTTAAAACCCAAAAGGCCGTGGCACTGATGCTGTGCCTGGATCCACATTCCAAAGCTCTGCATATCATACCCAGACCCAGTCACTTACTCTGGGGACATCAGCCTGGGTTCTTTTCCCTTCCACTGGAAAACAGGGTTCTTGTGGTCATGGTCGTCATCCTCGAGAAATGGAGGCTGAGGAGACAACTGTCCAGTCTGCAGCCAAGAGGTGCCTTTCAGTGGGTACAGGGAGCAGAGCTCGAGGCCACAAGCCTCGGCTCCAGCTTGCTGATGAAGATTTGGTGTCAGACGTGCCTCTTTGAGTGGGGGCCTTCAGCATCTTGTCAAGGCTTCCAGCTGTTGCTGTGTCCCTGATCTTCAACTCCTGGGGCCCCCACTAGATCCTAATGAACCCATGCACCCTGGCCCATGCCTGCTATCCCTCAACGGCACTTCTAGTAATTTCCCTGATGTTGTCTGCATGACTCCTCCCAATGTCATTGTGCCTTTGATTAAGTTGTCCAGGGACACTAATGGGGACTGGAAATCTCTGGTGAACATGGCCAAGGTTGCAGCAATGGCCTCTAGGGTTCTGGCCCCAACTAAGTTTTCCAGAATTTCCTGTGCCTCTGACTCATCTGCCAGGCAGAGATGCATCATTGAATTTGGGGATATTTTTCTCCAATGCATGATCAATCTTCTGGACCTATGCCTATTAAATATGGTGCCAAATGTCAGTGTCTCTCTTATCCCAACCCCAGGAATCAGAGAAGACTCCCGTTCAGCACAATTGTAGCCTGGGCCTCTCCCCAGTGAAGATTCTTTACCTCCAATTACTGACACATTTCCAAGGCCCCCAGATACTGTCTCCTACTGTGAAAACCAGGGCTCCTAGGGGCCATTGAAGTCCTCTCCCTAAAGGTTGCCATAGGTTCTTGTAGTACCTCTCAGGGACTGTCGGTCTACTCCTAATCATTGTGCCTGTGATCTTCACCATGGCCCAGATGCCATGGACAGCACTTGTTTCTGATGTTCCCCTTAGGATACCACCCTTACAGTGCTATGGGTCCAGATCCCATGGTAATTTGGGCCCACAATTGGATGATGCTGAGAATCTGACTGAGCCTCTCACTTTTACCTCATCTGGTGCTCTATGTCTCTGACTCTGGATTCCACTGAACATTGTCTCTGACTGTGGATTCCACTGGACATTGCTACAGCCCCAGTGAGGTTCAGGGCTTCTCTTCAACAGCAACATTCCCTTCACCCCAGGCCACCATCCACCGCTCGTGCACAAATGGCACCTTTAGACCAACTGAGTCACTTAGCCACTTATGGCTTCAGAGATATTTTGTAACTGTATTGATGTTTATTAAATTTGCTGTCTCTAATGTATATCTGCAAAGAAAATAAAATTCTTAGTACATGTTCCTAAAATTAGAATAAATAAAATAGATATATCAAAAAGAAAGTGATTTAGAAAAGTGATTGAGATAAACGAATGGTGAAACTATACCAAGCAAAGAACAAACATAAAAGTAGATCTTAATATATGGCAATCCTATGTTGCTTCCCCTTTCACCATGATTGTAAATTTCCTGAGGCTTCCCCAGAAGCAGAAGCTCTTATGCTTCCTGTACAGCCTGCAGAACGATGAGCTAATTAAAACTCTTATCTTTATAATTTACCCAATCTCAGGGATTTTTTTTTCTCAAAGTAGTACGTAGCATGGATCTTTACAATACAAAATATTAAATTTCACAATGAAATTATAGCAGTCACGAATATTCAAGTAAATTTGACAAAGTAAAAATTATAGTAGATAAAAGACAAGGGTAAAGAAAGGGATTAAAAATAGGAACATTTAAGTCACCAGTATGGTTTGGATATGTGTTCCTGCCCAAATCTCGTGGAATTTTAATCTCTAATGTTGGAGGTGGGGCCTAGAGGGAAATGACTGCATCACTATGGTGGTTCGTCATGAATGACTTAGCACTATCCCCATAGTGCTGCTCTTGTGATCAAGTTCTAGGAGGATCTGATTGCTTAAAAGTGTGTACCACCTTCCCCTTCTCTCTTCCTCCTGCCCCAGCTGTATATGATGTGCCTGCTTCCCCTTTCACCATGATTGTAAATTTTCTGAGGCCTCCCCAGAAGCAGAAGCTCTTATGCTTCCTGAACAGCCTGCAGAACCATGAGCTAATTAAAACTCTTATCTTTATAATTTACCCAATCTCAGGGATTTTTTTTTTCTCGAAGTAGTTTCCCTCTCTCTCCCAGGCTGGAGTGCAATGGTTCAATCTTAGCTCACTGTAACTTCTGCCTTCTGGGTTCAACCGATTCACCTGCCTCAGCCTCCTGAATAGCTGGGATTACTTGAGATTACTGGCACCTGCCACCACACCCAGCTAGTTTTTGTATTTTTAGTGGAGATGGGGATTTCATCATGCTGGCCAGGCTGGTCTTGAACTCATGACCTCAGGTGATCCACCTGCCTTGACATCCCAAAGTGCTGGGATTATAGAAATGAGGCACTGCACCCAGGCTTCAGGTATTTCTTTACAGCAATGTGCGAATTAAACAGTCACCCACCCAAAGCAGAAAAAATGGAGATATCTAAGGATATGGAAAATTTAAACTATATTAACAATAAGGAAGTATTGACATACTAGATGATAAAAAATACTTCTCTCTTCAAGTGCCAAAAAGCCAAATTTTCACAAAACAATAAATATCTGTTACATGCATAAACTCTGTGCAGCAAGAAAGTCTGATTTGTGACCTTGAAATTTACTTAACCTTATGACTCAGTTTCCTCAACATAAAATGAAGATAGCACCTACCTCTTGTGTTCAATTGACAGTTCTGTGAATTAATATATGCAATTTGTTAATATCAATGCTTGGGACACAAACATTATTGAAGTGTATCTGGATTTAAAACCTAATAAAATACATAAAGGAATATATGAGATTTATTCATAATAGTGGTGAGGAAAATCTGTAGCCTTAAGTATTTTCTCCATCACATACAAAGAATGAATTAGCTGGATTTAATTTCTAATGTCCAAGTTAGGAAAAGATAAACTGAAAGTAGCTGGAAGGAATTGATGCACCTATATACAGCAATTAATGAGTTAGAATAACTGTAAAATAATATACTAAATCAACACAAAGCACCAATGATACAGATTTTTTGTTAGAAAAGTTAACTTACTAAACAGAAAATTTAAGACATAAATTTCTGTGTATGAAATACGGAAAGATGGCAGAAGATCTGCCTATTCAAAAATGACAAGAATTAGACAAATTCACAGAGGAATTGTATGACATCTTCATTCATAGTATACCTAGGCCTTTAAAATGAGGGGAAAAAAATCATGTTTTAAAATAAGTACATCATTGATAGAAAATCCTTTCAGTTCAATGAGATACTCCTTTTATCTATGTTATGATTTGACCTTAAATCCTGATATTAACACGCCATACTAATCTGCCATAATCAAGCCATTCTGGGTAGTGGAACTGATGGTCTCTGTACAGTGGAAGCTGTGGTTGAAGACTGTGTGGCATCTCTAAGCTACTAAGGTAGCTTAAAGCTCAGTATTTTGCTTGTCACACATTTGTTTTCAAATATTCTGAAATATATAGGGCTTGACCACACCAGAAATTTGAAGATATGTAATGAAAATACTGGAAAAATATCAGACCCCTGTTTGATGAAAACAGTAAACAATGGAATCCTGGACATGTGGGAACAATTTAGGACTTTCTGGAGCAGGAATGTGAGGTTGTCATAGAAGAGACCCTACCTATACTTTGGCATGGGGAAAACCACCTTTCCATGGCACACACATATCATTTTCCTAGGAGGACACTTGTCCTTCCCCTTCAGGAGACTTGGGAGGACTGTTGGATTGCAACCTGGACATGGATTCCCTCTTAGATATGGGAGAAGACTCCTGGACATAGATCTAGACCTGGACAGTGAGCAAGATCTGGAGACCTCAGAGGATTTGGATGTTCGTGGAGAGCTGGATTTGGAGGTCGATGGGGAGCAAGAGGGAGACCCAGACTTCGAGTGAGAGCAGCTGTTGCGGGAAGACCGGATGTAGGGAGACTTCCTGTATCGAGACCCCCTGTAGTGAGATCGGCTGCAGTGAGGCTGGCTGTAAGATCGACTGGAGGGAGATCAGCTATAGTGGGTTCTCCTGTAAGGAGATCATCTGTAGGGAGATCATCTGTAGGGAGATCCTCTGTAGGGAGATCGTCTGGGGGGAGATGGGCTGTAGTGAGATCCCCTGTAAGATCGTCTGGAGGGTGATGCGCTGTAGGGAGATCTGTTGTAGTGAGATTCTCTGTAGGGAGATTGGCTGTAGGGAGATGGGTTGTAGGGAGATCTTCTGTCGGGATATCCTTTGTAGGGTGATCCTCTGTAGGGAGATCAGTTGTAGTGTGATCCTCTGTAGGGAGATCGTCTGTATGGAGATCGGCTGTAAGGGGATCCTCTGTAGTGAGATCTTCTGTAGAGAGATCCTCTGTAGGGAGATCGTCTATATGGAGATCCTCTGTATGGAGATCGGCTGTAAGGGGATCCTCTGTAGTGAGATCCTTTGTATAGAGATCCTCTGTAGGGAGATCGGCTGTAGGGAGAGCGACTGTAGCAAGACCTCCTGTAGCGAGATTGGCTTAGGGACCTGGAGCAGCTGGGACCCCGAGATCGGCTGTGGTGTCGCCTCCTGGGTCTGCAGCTCCACGGTCCGTAGCCACCGACCCGGGACCAGCTGCATGGCGCCCCCCGGCGGCCATAGCGAGCCACCTGCACCCGCAGCTCACATCCGTCCAGCCCCACAGCGTCCACGGCGGCCTCTGCAACCTCCGCATCGCGCTGGTCGTGGAAGCGGAAAAAGGCAAAGACCCGGGGCGCCTTGGTGTGGGGCACCCGCGGAGTGCACACGTCCCACGCGCCTCGGGCTGTCGGGAGAGGCGCCATAGGTCAGGTTGTCCACTTTGAGGGTGATCATACCGTCCACGTCGGGATGAGGACGGCCGCAGCTCACCGCTCCCAGAGCAGGGCCGGGGAACTGGCGCTGCCGGGGCGCGGGCGGTGAGACCCGCGTTCCTCTCCAGAGGTTGCGCCCCGGCTGGGGACGCCAGGAAAGGCTGGGCTGAGAGGCGGGCGGCCAAGCTCCGCAGGGAGCGCCCTGGAGCAGCAACTCGCGAATTCCCAATTCCAGGCCAAATACTCCAGGACCCAGAGGAAGGTTTCCTCTTGGTGGCTGAACTCCAAATGAAGCCAGGGCCCAAATAAATAAATAAAAATCCTTTTTGTTTTTAAAGTTTTGAATGACAAGGTCTCACTGTGTCATCCAGGCTGTTGTGCGGGGACGTAATCATAGAAAATGTTTGAGATGATATGAACAATACATCTATGTACAGAATACAGAGGCCAGCACAGACACACGTACAGTTGACCCTTGAACATAACCAGTTGATTAACATAGGTTTCGTTTGTTACATACATTCTATAATCGTATTCTCACAATAAGCCAGAGAGAACAACATGTTTTTA